AATATGGTGATTCCTTAGAAAGTTGGAATTGGAGATACCATTTGACCCAGCAACCCCATTACTAGGTATATATCCTAGAGAGGTGAGAGCCAGGATAGGAACAAATACATGCACACTCATGTTCATCACAGCACTATTTACAATAGCAAAAGGATGGAAACAATCAGCGAAAGAGTGGATGACCACACTATGGTACATACACATACTAGAATGCTATGCAGCACTAAAGAATAATGCAGAGTCTGCAAAACACCACATAATACGGATGAACTTGGAGGACATTATGATGAGTGAAATAAGTTAATCACAGAAGGACAAATATAGTATTGGTTCGTTGTTGTGAAGGGTCAAGGAAAGGTTTATATATGGAGGGAAACTTTCTTTGTTGGTTGCCAGGGGTTGGAGGGGAGGGGAGGTGATACTGACAAAAAAAAAAATGCATTGACCCATGTCACTTTAGTTTTGTGTATTTCACTGTACATAAATTATATTTCAATAAAATGCATTTTTAAAAATTTTTAAAAATAGCTATTGAAAAACCCCAGTGGAGCACAGTTCTACTCTGACATACATGGGGTCACCATGAGTCAGATCAACTTGACAGCAACTGGTAGAACAAACCCCGAATATCGTAGTCTTAAAAGGTAATGCAGACACACAATCAGACTTGAAGCAACCAGGTCTAGAGGGTGTTGGTACCACAGCCTGAGAAGCAGGAGACCCAAAGAAAGGGTACAAATCCCCAACCAGATGTCACCCCAGGGGTATGGGCATGTCTGAACCCCCAAGTATGGGCCATCTTCAGTTGTCTAGTGATATAAAACAGCCCTTTTTCCTCCTAAAGTGCTCACTTTTCTCAATCCTGGAGGATTAAATCTTGGGAAAGAAAGAGCAAATTCCACATGCAGGGAAGATGTGGATAAATTGGCCCTCCTCATTTGTCCTGGCTGTGCTGTGGCTCAGGCTTAGGTTGTTTGTGCCCTTGTGCAACTTCTGAGCCATTTCCTGGACTTTGAAATAAGCAAACTAAGTAAAGAGTTGAGGATAATTTCTACATAAAGCAGACACCAAATCCAGCTATGAAAGACTCAAATTCCCATATAGCCATTGGCAGACCCAAGAGTCACTACCATCTGCAATGAATTCCGTTTGTCATTGGAAATTTGAGATGAATTGAAATAAAAACAAATATTGTTAATGACACTTGCCCCAAAAATCTGTTCCCACAATTAACAGATATTCAATTACAGAAAAAGGGGGAAAAAGAAGGGGTGGAATTAATTGCCTGAGTTGCTTTTTTCTTTTTCCTCTTGGAAATAATGCCTTTAACCAACTATTCAAATGCCAAATATGTATATATATATATTTTTTAAATGTACTTACAGATGAGTTGTCATCCTCTTCCACGTGAAGAAGTAAATCAAATTCATGAGGACTGCAAACACATGGGGCTCCTAATTGGCCGAGGCGGCAATTTTTCTCAGGTGAGAGGAAGTCTGGTGTTCCTACCATCTTAGGAGAGCATCTCTCTGAAGGCCTGACACTGATCACTTCTTTTCTTTACAAATGTGCTGAGGACTAAGCTCTGAGTCTTCTGTGGAGGATGCTTGGAATGTTATTTTATACACACACACACACATATAGGACAGTAAAGCCTTCCAACCGCTAGAGGTGCTGTGGTAAACTGGCTTCGTCTTCTCACTTCTGTGGGAAATAAATACAGAGGACAATCTGACATCAATAAGATATTCAGACAAACCAGAGATTTTACAACATAGGCCAGAATAGAAGTAGTAATGTTGTTGTTGTGTTGTTGTTTTGCCGTCGAGTTGGCCCCGACTCATAGCGACCCCTCCTTGGGTTTCCGAGGCAGTATCATTACGGAAGTAGGATTGCCCAACCTTCCTTCCGAGGAGTGGCTGGTGGATTTGAACCGCCAGCCTTCTGGTTAGCAGTCAAGTGCCTTAGACATTATGCTACCAGAGCTCCTGTTGTTGTTAGGGACCCTCAATTCACTTCCCACTCATAGCAACCCCATGTACAACAGAATAAAACAATGCCTAGTCCTGCACCATCCTTACAATCTTTGCTATGCTTGACACCATCATTGCAACCACTGGGTCAGTTCATCTCTTTGAGAGTCTTCTGCTTTTTTTCTAATCTTCTACTTAACCACGCATAGTATCCTTCTCCAGGGACTGGTCCCCTCCAGCAACATGAGCAAGGTACATGGGATGATGTCTGGCCATTTTCACTTCACTGGCATTTCAGTTGTACTTCTTCCAGGATAGATTTATTTGTTCTCTGGCAGTCAACATTTTTCGGCAACACCACAATTCAAATGGATCAATTATTTGGTCTTCCTTATTTGTTAACCAGCTTTTGCATGCATAGGCAGTGATTGAAAATCCCATGGCTTAGATCAGGCATACCTTAGTCTTCAAAATGAATCACACTTTATAGAGGCCTTTTATAGCAGATTGCCCAGTGCAAGAGGTCACCTGATGCCTTGACTGCTGCTTCCATGACTATTGATTGTGAATCCAATTAAAATGAAATCCTTGACAACTTCAGTCTTTTCTCCATTCATCATTATGCTGTTTATTGGTCCAGTTGTGAGGACTTTTGTTTTCTTTATGTTGAGGTATAATCCATAGTGAAGGCTATTGATCTTCATCAATAAGTGTTTCAAATCTTCTTCACTTTCAGCAAGCAACGTTGTGTCATCTGCATATCACAGGTTGTTAATGAGTCTTCCTGCAATCCTGATGCCATGTTCTTCCTCATATAGTCAAGCGTCTCAGATTATTTGCTCATCACACAGATTGAGACCTTCAATGAGATAGATTGAAACAATGGCTGCAACTATGGGCTCAAGTATAGCAAAGATTGTGAGGATGCCTTAGGACTCAGCATTGTTTTGTTCTGTTGTACATAGTGTTGCTGTGAGTCCGAGTTGAATCAACAGCACCTAACAACAACAACAAAACAGACTGAACCAATATAGTGAAAGGATATACAACCTTCCTGAGTTTAAGCCTTGCAATATTCCCTTGTTCTTTTTGAACAAATATCTCTTGGTTTATGCACAAGTTCCTCATGAGTACAATTAAGTGCTCTGGAATTCCCATTCTTTGCAATGTTATCCATAATTTGTTATGATCCACACAGTCAAATGCCTTTGCATGGTCAATAAAACTCAGGTAAACATCTTTCTGATCTTTGCTTTCAGCCAAGATCCATCTGACATCAGCAATGATATCACTCATTCCATGTCCTTTTCTCAATCCAGCTTGAATTCCTGGAAGTGCCCTGTCAATATGCTATTGCAACAGTTTTTTAATTATCTTTAGGAAAATTTTAGTTGCATGTGAAATTAATGATATTGTTCAAAAATTTACACATCCTGATGGATCACCTTTCTTTGGAATGGGCACGAATATCAATCTCTTCCAGACAGTTGGCCTGGTAGCTGCCTTTCAAATTTCTTGGCATAAATGAGTAAGCATAAGCACCTCTGCATTTGTTTATTGAAACATCTCAATGGGTATTACATCAATTCCTGGAGACTTGTTTTTTGCCAATTCCTTCAGTGCAACTTTGACTTCTTCCTTCAATACCATCAGTTCTTGATCACATGCTACCTCCTAAAATGTTTGAACATTAACCAATATTTTTTGGCACAGTGACTTTGTGTATTCCCTCCATCTTCTTTTGATGCTTCCTGCATCATTCATTATTTTGCCTATTATTTTCCTTCAATATTAGAACTCGAGGCTTGAGTTTTTTCTTCAGTTCTTTCAACTTGAGAAATGCTGAGTATATTCTTCCTTTTGGATTTCTAACTCCAGGTCTCTATACATTCATTATAATATTTTACTTTGTCCTCTTGAGGTGTCCTTTGAAATCTTCTGTTCAGCTCTTTTATTTCATCATTTCTTCCATTCCCTTTAGCTACTCTCTATTCAAGAGCAAGTCTCAGAGTCTCTTCTGACATCCATTTTAGAATTAATTCTAACTTCATTAAAAGAACTAAGTCAAGTCCAACTCATGTTGACTTTATGTGTGTCAGAGTTGAACGGTGCTCCATAGGATTTTCAATGGATGATTTTTTTTTTTAAGTAGATTGATTACTAAGTATTTCTTCCAAGGTACCTCCAGTGGAGTCCAAGCTCCAATCTTTCATCTAGTAGCCAAGCAGGTTAATTGTTTGCACTACCCATGGACTCAAAAGAATCCTAGTTGTTCTTAACCTCAGTCCTGAGCTCTGACTTTACAAACTCTAAATATTCCAAGCTTTAATGGCTTCTGTGGCTGAGAACAACCCAACAATTCTGGCCTGCTGAGGTGACCCCTGCAAGAGAAGTAGGGAACCACCCAGAGTGGGATCTCAGTACAGAACTCAAAATCAGACACTCCCAGTGCCCTTGTCCAAGAAGCTGGGAGATTCCAGAGAGCAAGTCCTCACCCAGCTCTTCCTGGAAAAGTCAAGTCCACCTCCAGTGTTAGGCTTCTGGTATTGGCTCTGCTTTCTGGGGCTGGGCTGCTGCTGATGATAGTAAAATGATCTTCTCCTAAGTCCCTCAGATCAACAGGACTCTCACCAGAGCTTCCGTCAAGGCAGTCATTTAAGAAGACATAACTTCTGCTAGCTGGATAATTTCTTCTTCTCTGTTATCTTTCTTTCAGTTTCAAATGCTCGTAATTCTTTTCATTTTCCCTGCTCCATTCATGCCTCTCACTCTATTTTAACAGATACTCTTGCCTTGCACCTCTCAGAGAAAATTGAAGCTGGCAAGCAAGATCTCTCTAGAAACTTGTCTGCTCTCACCTCCACTGCCATAACTTTCCTGAAGATTGAGAGGATGAGATGCCTCTCTTGTTCAAATCCACATCTACCACCTGTGCCCCTGACCCTCCATGCTCCTTCCACCTTCACTTTAGGACTTATTCTCATGTCCTCTAGCATCTCCAACTTTTCCTCAACTCTCACTCAGCCTATAAACAAGCACGACTCTCTTGGCCCAAACACAAACCACACCAAACAAAACCCTAATGCAATCTCTTGCTGGGACATGGTCTTTTTCTACTCCT